TCAATCCCTTATTAATCAGGCACCCTCATGGTCATTCTAAAGATCTAGAACTTAAGTTAATATTCCCCATTTTTTGAAATTTCTTTCCGGGCATTGTAATATAATTCCAATTGATTAACTACAAATCAAACGCCTAGGGAAATTTTGTTAACCCTTTAGCCAAACCTCACAAATAAGACCTCAATTAGGAGCCAATTCCCTCTTTTAAATAGAGATAAATGGTCAAGAATATTGAATTCATAACAGTGTAAAGAGCTTCAAATAGAAATTAACATCATATTGATATCTTTATCAACTAGAAGCATTTATCATTACTTTACGTTTATCATCTGATCAATTTAAGGTGCTGTAGAGATTACGGATAGTGCCATAGAGAAAAAAATATAAAACAATAGTAAAAATATCAGTCCACGTGATCATTACTCGTTTAGTGAGCATTATTACCTAATCCAGTAATAGCACCGCTTTAAGTAATTTTTTCACAATTTGAGAATTTTAATTTCGATTCGAAATTTCGAAAAATTGGCAAGAAAAGAAACTGTTCAGTACAAATTACAGCTAAAATTTCAAGTTGAATTTAGAAGTTCACCTTTAACATCAGATTTTTTTTTTCAGCACTGTTCACTTATTAGGAAGAGATAACAGTTCTAATATAATTGAAATCAACGAGGGAATAATTTAATTCAATCAGATTAGAGAAATTATCCATTATCCAGATTCTCTGTCGTTTATCATCACTCAATTGTACATTAATATTAATTGCTATTTCATCTTTCATTATTGTATTGTGAAAATAAAATAATACTGGAAAGTAATCTAATAGACCTTTTTATTCAATCAATTAAAGATCATTATTCCATTAAAGGATAGAAACTCATCATCATTTCCAAGGTTTATCCATTAACTTTATATAATATCCATTTTACAATTCTACTTCAAGAATTTGTGTTTGATATTTTATTTTAGGAAGATTTTAATTATTTAATTTTACTTGTTCTTATAGATTATTTCATTTCATTTCATTTTATTGGCATCATTATAGTCTTTAATTGTCGCTCTATAGAAATTTTTTTGATTTTCACTTTTGATTTTTGATTTTTGATTTTTTTACTATTATCCTTGCATCCAATATTCGTAAGGTGAACCCTATACCCATCTATAGAAAATTATTTTTTGAACCATTTATAAAGCATACTTTCATAAAATAATATCAATTCGGTTTCACTTCAAAGCTATCAAAGGTTAATATTTCAATACATTACACTATCTACTATCCCATCGCTTTGAAATTTCAATTCATAAATAATGTCTGGTACAGAAGAAATTGATTATGAAGCTTTACCAGAAAATGCATCCTTGCCATCTCAATTATTAGCTGGTGCATTCGCTGGTATTATGGAACATTTAGTTATGTTCCCAATCGATGCATTGAAAACAAGAGTACAATCGCAAACATCAGGCTCTGTTCCTAAAAATATGATAAAGGAAATTTCTAAAATTACAACGACAGAAGGTTCCATGGCATTATGGAAAGGTGTACAATCAATGATTTTAGGTGCAGGCCCTGCTCATGCCGTTTATTTTGGTACTTATGAATTAATGAAGGCAAGGTTAATTACACCAGAAGATATGCATACTCATCAACCATTGAAAACAGCTATTAGTGGTGCCACTGCTACTATTGCTGCTGATGCATTAATGAATCCATTCGACACAATTAAGCAACGTATGCAATTGAGTAGTAAAACTTCTACTTGGAACGTTACAAAAAACATTTATAAAAAGGAAGGTCTACGAGCTTTTTACTATTCATACCCAACTACAATAGCAATGAATATACCATTTGTATCATTGAATTTTGTCATATATGAATCTTCGACTAAGATCTTTAATCCTTCAAACAATTATAACCCATTAATACATTGTATATGTGGTGGGTTAAGTGGTGCAACTTGTGCAGCTTTGACTACTCCTTTGGATTGTATCAAAACTGTCTTGCAAGTTAGAGGTAGTGAGTCCGTTTCATTAGACATAATGAAGAAGGCTGACACTTTCACTAAAGCTGCCAAAGCCATTTATCAAGTGCACGGCTGGGGTGGTTTCCTAAGAGGTTTAAAGCCAAGAGTCGTTGCTAATATGCCGGCTACCGCCATTTCATGGACATCATACGAATGTGCTAAACATTTCCTAATTGTGTGATTATTATCATTGTTATTTTAGTACTGTCGATAAAACAAATATATTTCTCCATGAATTCCAAGTAAATAAAGAGACAAATATATCTGCTTGTGATATAGATAATAAGATTTTTTAACGAAACCTAAAATTAAATGAATTCAATCTCTATTGAAGAAGTTAATTGACTTGCATATATCTACATAAATGTGATTTTTATAATTAATATATAGTATATACATATACATTCACTTCATATTAATTAATAATTCAAATTATTCTATATCTATTCTCTTTCAAAAATTAGCAACAATGTTATCTTGTTGATCGTGCTTTCCATCTATAATTGCTCTAATGGTGTGTATATTATTTGAATACCTATAGCCATCTACATCCCAAATTACTGGATAATTGGGATCTTCAGGTATAAAGCTTTGAGTCCCTAAAGAATCATCCCATCCGATTGATATGTCATCTTCGAATGAATTATTCCCGCTTTCCAGATCATCTGTATTCAAATTATTGTTTCCAATGGTATCTATTGAATTGCTTTGAGAATTTGGGATACTACCATATTCGTTAACCCAATACTTATCAGTACCATTATTTTTGAACCTTATTCCACGTTCTAGTTGTCTTAATCTTGAATATGCGTTCATATTAGATATAAGGGAGCTTTCAACATTATGAGTTTCGAAATTTCTGTATGTGTAATAAGAGGATCCAAAGAAAAATGCATGCATAAAGTCCCATAATACATCATAGCTCCCAAAACAGTCCCTTATTGCATATAATGGTTTCATTTTTGCACTTGAAGGCATTGCTTTGGGGGAATAAGGTTTCCATGGAAAGGCAATTAAATGAAACAAAGAAAAAAATATCATTTCAATGCAAAGTATAGCATTTTGGAGAACATAAGCTTGATACCCACTATTACCATTATTCAAAATCCCAAAATATACTAGTAACTGTAATATAATTCCCTGCCAGTATGATGCAAATATAATTAATTTCACGCATAAGAATTTAGGCCATGGGTTAAATGGTATCAATTCATGTGCTAAGCACTTCCAAAACAATGCTAAGCTATATAAAGAAGTAGTCACTGATGCATTATAAATTAGAATTAGAATAAATTTCAACTTGGGGAAACTCCAAATTTCCAATAATAATGTACACAAGCAATAGATTGGTTTAAACCAAACGTATTGCATTACACCTCGTTTCACTAATAATAAATCACTTGGATCTGAAAGATCCAGATCAGGTAAAATTTTTCTTAGAATATAAACAGGATGTTTTACTGGACCATGATGTAATGTCAATTGTGTAACAATGTGTCTTTCACCTCCTAATAGCAGAATTAATAGTGAAAAAAATGCAAATATAGTAAAAGCTTCATAAACCTCCCTTATGGGATCAGTATACAGTTGAGCAAATCTAGGATATAAAGTTGCAATAAGACATGTAATGCTGAAAAGAGGAACTATTATCAATATCCTTATTACCAGCCTTTGTTCAATTGGTTTTCTATACTGCAATATATGATTTATTATTCCATAAACTGAAATCCCTATTGAAATCAACGACGATATTATACAAAGTTGTTCCCAAAATATAGGTAACCGTACATTCTCGTTATCCATACCTCTCAAATCGAAGCATTTAATAATGATTGATCTACACTATATTGCATTTTGGTTCCTACTATTTAAATCAGATGTTTCTTAAATATTTACGTTACAGGATTTAAAATATTAAAATCCGATGGGATGTCCTCCATTAAGAATTGAAATGATGTCATTAAATATGTAAGTGAAATAAATTTGGTAAATACTTGATATAATAACTATTAACAAGGTGAATATTTAGTTTGATTATTATGAATTTATATTAAAAAGTAATTTAAGAAATGTTTAGTTTTTTTAATCGTGGAGTGTTGTTCATTAACTTAATTTTGGTGGTCAAGATCAAAAAGTGACATTCATTATGTGACGGTGTCCTGTTTCTTCTCAGTTCTTAGGCGTAACTTCTCTCTCCTCTCTTGCTTTTTTTGTTCTTTTAAGACCTTTTTCTCATCTAAGGCTTCTTTGTTTTTACTTGTTGATAATGTCTTGGGAGTGCTTTTAATTAGCATTCTGTTTTCTATATTTCCTTCGAAAGATAGAAATGTATCTTCTTCTTCTAATAGACTCTTGACAGCGTCCAAAATGGCAGTTCTGTTCAATTTCTCCCTTTTGGATATTTTTTTATTAGAGTTTTCAGCAGGAATAGTGAAATCATCGACCCAATCAGTGTTGGTACGTGTTTTATCATCGAGATATATGCATAATTTATGTCCCTTCTTCAAGGCAGATTGTATTTCATTAGTTTTCTGCTTTGCTAAATCAGTTTCTTTAATCTTCCAAGAAACTCTGATATGCTTTATACCTACTTTTTCCTTTTCATTATCGTACTTTTTTGATGATTTGATAACACCCAAATCTATTAGTTCTTTTTGTTTCCTGTCTGCAACTTTATCAGAATATCTCCTTAAAGCCACTCTAGCCTCTATCAGCTTGACTAAGGGAATCTTCTTGTGATCTGTCGTTCTTTCAACATTTGCTATAATAAATCCATGTCTATCTAAATCAATACCTTTAGCAAATTGAAATATCGAAGAGGTTTCAATCTCATTTGTTTCTAAATTTAAAGCTTTAATAACACCATTTGGACTTAACCCCAGTATCTTTTGAAAAACTTCGTTAGCTGCTTTCTGAGCTCTTTCAGATCCTGTGGTCCATTTTATTGAAAATTTCTTGAATTTGGTAGACTGGTGCATTTTTTTAGGTTGTATCTTAGTTTCCAATTGATAATTTGAATGTACTTTCTTTGGCCCATGATTACTTTTATATTTGTTGATAGGGGTCCTATCGTTATTATGTAAATTATTATGTTTTGATGACCTTGTTGATCCAGAAAGATTCATAAGAAAATCAGAATTACTGGATCCAGTTGATAGAAATGGACTTGAAATAGATAGCAACCTAATTCCAGTAGAAGAAATTGCCCATTGTCTTTTAGTGCTGCATCTTACCAATGAAAGAAGCATCGTATAACAATAATAGGTACACAGATACCTGATTATCAGTGTTTTGTGGGACTTTCAATTCTATATCTTACTATTTTTTAAGGTTATAACAAAATGTCAAGATATCTTAAAGTTCATTAACTTTATTGGACTACTTATTTTATAAAATGAGTAGTGAACATATGAAGCTGATAGCGCCGTTATTAACACAGCGATATCTGAATTTTAGATATTTGTAAAGATCACATCTACTAGATAAACTGATGAAATAAAGATAGAGGTAAAAGTAAAATAACAAATGCAATATATTTAAATTCTATAATAAAATTAATTAATTAAATGATGATTATGAAAAATATGGTACGTTTATAAACATATTATTGATTTTACAATATAAGCTACAATTAGATAAAAATGAAACAAAACGAATAAGAAGAAAAAAACTGATAATAAAAAGTATTGAAGTATAGATTAGTCTCCAATTAAAATACCCCTACCATTTAATAGAAATAAGTCTCCGAAAGTCCCAAAAACAGAAGCAAATTTGAATTAAATTCAATGAGATATTAAGAAATTCCTTTTTATTGTGTTACACTAGTAATGCATTTATTGGTCAACACCTAGAACCATTGCTAATAAGGCCATTCTGACATACAAACCATATTTCATTTCTCTGAAGTAGGCAGCACGATGATCGTAATCGACTTCTTCTTTAATTTCATTAACACGAGGTAATGGATGCATGACTGCCATATTTTGTTTAGCATGAGACAGAATCTTGTTATCGACTATGTAAACATCCTTTAGACGTTGATATTCAGCCTTGTCTTCGAATCTTTCTTCTTGGACCCTAGTACAGTACAAAACATCAGAATGAGAAATAATTTCCGGAGTTAACATTTCACTTTCTTCACCCAACATACCTGCGTCTTGTAATTCCTTTAACAGAGCGTTTGGCATACGTAATTCCTTTGGAGAAACCAAGTTAATGGTAACTTGATAATGTTGCAACAATCTACACAAGGAATGAACGGTTCTACCATTCTTCAAGTCACCCATAAATGTGACAGTGATACCATTGACAGTACCTAATTCTTCACGAATAGTAAACAAATCTAAGAATGCTTGAGTAGGGTGTTCACGAGAACCATTACCACCATTGATAATTGGAACTGGAGAATATTTAGCAGCAGTGTGAACAGACATTTCATCTGGGTGACGCATAACAATTGCGTCAGTATAACAAGCTAAAGTTCTAATAGTATCTTGTAATGTTTCACCCTTTTTAACAGATGATACAGATGGATTAATATTAACAGTTCTACCACCTAAACGTTCCATAGCAGCAATAAAGGAAGAAGAGGTACGCGTAGATGGTTCATAAAATATAGTGGTTATAATCTTGCTTTTCATTAAGTCAAGAATACCTTCTCTTTCTACAGCAGCCCTCAACTCTTGTGCGACAGAGAACAAAGCGTGGAAATCAGAACGCTTGAACTGCTTAATGGATAAGATATTTCTACCCTTAAATGGATTGTTACCACGGATTAAAGTTTGGATTGCACCAGGGGCAATTAATTCTCTAGGTGGTCTAGATGACATTAACTTTTGTTCCAAAGGTTGATCGAATACTTCTTCAACGGCTTCATTACCGCTGATAGAGTGTCTTTCACTGGAAAACGAGAATCTCTTGTTGAAGGTACCAGTCTTAGGTAGAGGAATCTCAGGAGGAACACTAACAATTTGAGCTGGGGCAACAGTGCTAATACAGTCACCTCTTAATTCCGTAGCGACAAGTTCACCGCTTAAAACAACGGTTTCACCATTGATAATAACACGTTCAACACCACCATTCAATCCACCCTTCATATAAGGAGACCATCTTTTTGTGTGCTTAAATGGATAATCCATATCAACTTCAACCAAGGCATCTTGTTGTGGTAACTTGAAAATCTTAATTGGATTGTCATGTAACTTTTCAACGATATCTTCGATAGTTAATCTACCTGCATCGACTGCAGACAACAATAATGGTAAAGTGTCCTTGACACCTAAACCAACTGAAATCTTATTGCCTGTAACTTGAGCAACAGCATCAGGTAAAGAACCAATGGAGAAAGCATCAATGGCATCCAAATTTTTCCAGAAGAATTCTTGATCCTCAATAGTTGGTAAAATACGAGATTCTGGGAAATCATCTTGAGAAACAAACAAGGAATGGATATTAACGTCACAAGTAACTCTGGTATCCTTTTCTTTGACAGTCATAATCAATGATAAATCTTCTTTGTTGGAAACACCAGTAATATGGATAGGTCTGTTTTGCAAAGATGCCAATAATAAGATTGATGCCAATTCAGAAGTCTTGGCTTCAGCAATAACTTGCTTGTCAATTGGCCAATTCTTTAGTAAATCGGAAACAATAGAAAATTTGCTCTTTAATTCATGGAAAGGCAAAAACAAGGCAGTGACATCCTTAGATGTTTCGGCAACATAATCTGGGTTATTACTAGTTCCAGATACAGTAAAAGAATAGTTGGTGTATGATGAATCTGTTGCAGTAGAGTATGCAGCTTTTAGTGAAATGGCATCAGTAACAATTGGAGATCTTAAAGCTCTGGACATTAATTGGCAATGTACGAAACCTGCTTCCAAAGCAACTCTTGATGCTTCTTTCAATTCAGCTGGACCCTTGATAACATTTGAAATGTTTGGAACAAAGGCAGCAATATCAATCAACCCAGGTAAGGTAATAGTTCTATGGGAAGTTTGTGAATCACGCTCAGAAACTTCCAAGTTCAAATTTCTGGATAATGCTTCAATTAATAGCTTAGCACATTTAACGTTTGTAACTAATGGTACCGAATAATCAACGGCCATACGACGTGTTTTATAACCTTTAGAAACATATGATGCTGGACGACGATATCTGTTAGCAGAAGGCAAGTTGATATACAAATCAATCTTATTATTAGCCAAATGTTGGGTTAACGAGTATTCAGATTTCTCGTCTTCTTCACTTAAGACTTCCAAGTATTGGACTGGAATATTGTGTTCTGAAATAAAATCAGCTGTACCAGCAGTTGCAAATAATTTGTAACCCATTTGATATAATTTTTTGACCGAAGGTAGCAATTCCTGTTTTTCTTTGTATGAACCTATAGATAGTAAAATGTTTTTCTTTGGAAACTTGAAACCGGTAGACAATAATGCTTTCAAGTACGCTTCGTACTTAGAGTGACCAAAAGAGGCAACTTCACCAGTAGAAGCCATTTCAACACCTAAAACTGGATCAGCACCAGCCAAACGTGGGAAAGAGAATTGTGGAACCTTAATAGCAACATAGTCATCAGGTAACTTTTCAACGGGGTATGGGGTGATTGGTAAACCCATAATAGCTTTGGTAGCCATTTCAATTAAGTTAACACCAACAACCTTAGAAATAAATGGGAAGGAACGTGAAGCACGAACGTTACATTCAATAACTTTAATTTCATTATCCTTAGCAATGAATTGAATATTGTAAGGACCAGTAATTTTCAATGCCTTACCGATTTTAGCAGTAGCAACAACAATTCTTTGAACAGTTTCTGGATCCAAATCTTGTGGTGGAACAACTAAGGTGGCATCACCAGAGTGGACACCAGCATTTTCAACATGTTCAGAGACAACATGCATAATCAATTCACCATTTCTAGCAACTGCGTCCATTTCAATTTCTTTAGCGTTTTCGATATATTTAGTGATAACAACAGGGTATTCGCGAGAAACTTGGACAGCTTGGTTTAAGTAAGATTCTAAATCATCCTTAGAATATACAGTATTCATGGCAGCACCTGATAAGACATAAGATGGACGAACCAGAACTGGGAAGCCAACCTTTTGAGCAAAATCTTCCGCTTCACTTAAAGAAGTTAATTCTTTCCAAGCTGGTTGATCAACTTCTATTTGATCCAACATACGGGAGAATTTGTAACGGTTTTCAGCTGAATCAATCATCTCTGGGGATGTACCCAAAATCTTAACATTCTCACGATGCAAACTCATAGCAATGTTATTTGAAGTTTGACCACCCATAGAAACAATAACACCATCAGAAGATTCAATTTCATATATATCCAAAACTCTTTCTAAGTTAATGGTTTCAAAATATAATCTGTCGGCTTCGTCATAATCAGTTGAAACTGTTTCTGGGTTATAGTTGACCATAATAGTTTTGATGTTGTTTGCCCTCAAAGTTCTTACAGCAGTAACAGCACACCAATCGAATTCAACAGATGAACCAATACGGTAGACACCAGAACCTAAAACCATTACACCATTATCGTTGAAGGTCAAATCATGAGAAGAGGCATTGTAAGTCATATACAAATAGTTAGTGTGGGCAGGGAATTCTGCAGCAACAGTATCAATTTGTTTAACAAAAGGAGTAATGCCATATTCTTTTCTTAAACGACGGATGGCAACTTCATTGGAATCCAAAAATTTGGCAATTTGTCTATCATCAAATCCTAATTGTTTAGCTTGCTTCAAAACAATTGGAGGTAAAGACTCCTTGGAACCAAATTCAGTCATCTTATTACCAAATTTGATTAAATCGTATAATTTGTTCAAGAACCATTTATCAATCTTGGTCATTTCCCAAACCTTATCAACAGAATAGCCAAATTTGGAGAATGCATTAGCAATAGCAAAAACACGTAAGTCTGATGGGTTATTCAATTCGTAATCAATATCAATTTCTAATTCTGTTTCGTTAAAACCAGTGTTAGCGTATTCAGTTGATCTGATAGCTTTTTGAATTGCTTCTTCAAAGGTTCTGCCAACACTCATAACTTCACCAACAGATTTCATAGAAGAGGATAATTCAGTAGAAACTCTGCTGAATTTCTTTAAATCCCAACGTGGCATTTTAACAACACAATAATCTAAAGAAGGTTCAAAACAAGCACAAGTAGATTTTGTAACAGAGTTCTTGACTTCATTCAAAGGAATGTTTAAACCTAATTTAGCAGCAGTATATGCCAATGGATAGCCGGTAGCTTTGGAAGCCAAGGCAGAGGAACGGGACAAACGAGCGTTAACTTCAATGATACAATATTCCTTAGAAAATGGGTTTAGTGCATATTGAATATTACATTCACCAACCACACCCAGATGTCTAATAACATTAACGGCTGTAGTTCTTAACATATTGTAATCTTCGTCAGATAAAGTTTGAGATGGGGCAACAACTATCGAATCACCAGTATGAATACCTAAAGGATCAAAATTTTCCATATTACAGACAGTGATACAGTTGTCAAAAGCATCACGAACAACTTCATATTCAACTTCTTTCCAGCCTTTCATTGATCTTTCAACCAAAACTTGTGGAGAAGATGCAAAAGCAACATTACATAGATCAATTAACTCTTTTTCATTATTGGCAAAACCAGAACCTAAACCACCTAAAGCAAAAGCAGCACGAACAATAACTGGATAGCCAATGTCATTTGCCGCAGTTACAGCTTCTTCGACAGAAGAAGCAGCGTGGGACTTAGCACACTTTTCATTGATTTCATCAATAGCGTTAGCAAATAATTCACGATCCTCAGTTGTAATAATGGTATCAATTGGAGTACCTAAAACCTTAACACCAAGAGCTTCAAATTCATCTTTCATTTCAATACCAACTGACAAAGCAGTTTGACCACCAAAGGTGACATAGATAGCATCCGGACGTTCATGTAAAATAACCTTACGGACAAATTCAGCAGTGACTGGCAAGAAGTAAACTTTATCAGCCAAACCTTTAGAAGTTTGAATAGTAGCAATATTTGGGTTAATCAAAATGGTATAAATACCTTCTTCTTTTAAAGCTTTGATGGCTTGAGAACCGGAGTAATCAAATTCACCAGCTTGACCGATAGATAAACCACCAGAACCTAAAACTAAGACCTTCTTGGCTTCAACTCTTGGATGAGCATTTTGGTTTTCAATAATATCACCACCTGGGAATTGGACTTGTTTCAAAACACCAGATTCCTTGAATTCTTTAACAGATTGAATGAAAACATCAAATAAGAATTCAGTGTCTCTTGGACCGGGAGTTGATTCAGGGTGGAATTGGACAGAGAAATAAGGTAATGAAGTATGGTACATACCTTCATTGGAACCGTCATTAGCGTTTGTAAACAAAGCTTTCCATCCATCTTGCAAGGTATCGACATCGACAGCAAAACCATGATTTTGGGAAGTGATGTAACATCTACCACTAGTAGTGGAAGTACATGGGATATTGTGACCACGGTTACCAAACTTTAGTTTCATGGTGGAAGCACCTGAAGCACGAGCCAGCAATTGATGACCCAAACAAATACCAAATATTGGCGTTTTCTTGGATTTGATGACAGCAGATAACTTGCTTGAAACATTAGTCAAGACAGATGGATCACCTGGACCATTAGAAATAAATAAACCATCATATTCTTCGTTGGTGAAGTCATAATTCCATGGAACGACCTTTAGTTCGACACCACGTTTAATGAAACAACGGATTTGGTTATATTTCATACCGACATCGATAGCCAAAATTCTTAAGATCTTACCGTCTGGACCTCTCTGAATGTTGACAGACTTGTTATCGGTTGGAGGGGTATATAATTTTGGTTCCTTAGTGGAAACCTTTTCAACTAAGTTGATAACATTTGGATCGCTCCATTCAGGGATATCAAAGTGTGCGTGCCAGTTAGCAGAAGTAGCTTCATCATAAGAGGCATTTGGGTTTTGGAAAGCCAATCTACCTAACATAGAACCAAAGTTTCTTAAATGTTTAGTTAAAGATCTAGTATCGATACCATAAACAGCTGGGATACCCTCATCCTTCAACCATTTAGACAAAGAGGAGGTTGCTAACCAGTGAGAATATTCTTCAGTATAATGAGAGATAACTAAACCAGATACATGGATTCTGTTACTTTCAAAATATCTAGGTAAATTTTCAACGAATTCATCCATTAAGTTACGATCTGGGACACCGTAGTTACCAACCAAAGGATATGTAATCACTAAAATTTGACCTTCATAAGAGGGATCAGTAATTGATTCTGGATAACCAACCATACCAGTTTGAAAGACCAATTCACCAGCAATTGGTTTTTCGGCACCAAATGAGTAACCTTGTAAGACTGTACCATCTTTCAATTCTAAGGAGATCAAACGGTCACCAGTAGAATCCATTGGAGGGGTAACAGGAGCAGTTGGAGTAATATCAGAAATCATCATTTTGGATTATTATGTTCTATTGAAAATTTTTGTTGTAGTTCTTCTTGAGTAAATAACAAAACTTCCTTTAGTTTATGAAATTTTATATTGTATCTTTTTGGGAGTTTTTTATATTTAATGAAAAGATAATGAAATTAGGGACTATTAGATTTTATTTGGCTCTTTTCTTAAATATTCCTTAGTATTTGAAATTGGATCTCGATGGAAGATTTTTGATTTTTGATTTTTGAATATATTAATAATTAATTGTTGAATGCTTAGTCTGGATAATATACTTGATTAGCAAACACAGTTGATTTCTATAATAGAGTTCTGTAGCGAAATGAATAATGATATATTATTTATAATAGAGTTAGCACAACGTTCATGAAAAAAAAGGGAAGGGGAAGGGACTTCTTATTTTTAATTTTTTGCACTAGACCAAAAACTAAACTTGATACTGCTAGATGACACAATCAATTTCCTCTGTGAAGTAGTTTTGGCCTAAATTAGGTAATATTTTAAGCTGTGCCTTGCAAAATATCTCTCGTGGAGTTGAATTTTACATCAATTTAAGTTCGAAACGGTGATATTTCTTCTATCTTGAAATTTTGACTTCTATATATCAGAATCACGTGATAATTCCAATAGTCATCATTATAGATAGTTTTTTCAATCCATCGTTTACTATCCATTAACCTTTCTATCTTCCATAATAGAAATACAAAGATTATGGATATGGACTGGTGCATATTTGATTAAAACATTTAGAATTGGTCCAAAGTTCACTTTTGTAGATTAAAAATTAAAATATAAAGTTAAAACAGCAACTGTTTTAACTCAACTGTAGGCATACATACTTATCTTGCACTTATAATAAGATTTTAAAAAATGCAATAGATATATATAAGTAAAAGTTTTTGTATTCAATGTAATAATTGGCTAATACAATACAATAATGCTAATTAAAATAAAAATAATATGTTTGGGGGACTTTTTAAATTGGTAATTGTATTGGTAATAGACAAATATATACACGTAAACTGGGATGTCGTCTATCTGGCTGCTGGTTTATCTTTGAATCAAATAAAAAATATTCAAAATTACTTCAAGAGAAAATACATTACAAGAACATATTAGATACCAAGAACTAGAAAAGAAAATTGGTATGGTAAAAACATACTTATCTTTTAACTTTGAATCTAAAACAACATACCAAAAGATAAAATATAGTAAATATATTAATCGAACAGAAAGCAAATGGATTTTGAAAAATAATTTGACGATGACTGAGGTACCCATAATAATTAACAGGAAATCTACTTGATATTTATACTTTTTAAAAGATCAAAGCCAATTTTTAACCATCTAAAAAAAAAAAAAAAAATTATTATTAGTACTCTTAGGCTCAATCTAATGTAGTAGATTAATCATTCAGTCAAGATGAGAATAATGAGCTGAATAATCTAAGCAGATGTGAAAAAAAGAGTATGGACAAGATTAGGTCGTTAGATCAATTCTAAGTCAAAAAGAAATATCTCCTATTTCTTATTCTATATTTTTTCCAGTAATAATAGCAGTCTTGCAAGAGTAAAACGATAGGAAGAACCTTGCCTTAAAACTTTGACATTTATTTCCTTTTTGCAGTGCTATGTAGTGTGGTATTTATTAGAGTGTATTGATTGCTAATAGTTTGAGAATAGATTCCGACTAATAGTAGCAACAGAGTCAGTCTGTCTAAAGAAAGAGAACTGCAAAGAGACAGAAAGGTACGCTACGCTGGCCCAACAAGTCATTGAAGAACAATAATAGTATCGTGTAGTATACTAGATGGTTCAGAGAGTTGATTGGTAAGGTGGTGAAGATATAGCCGATACAGATGGGTCGAGGAAACATTAGTAGAAGACTATCAAAAATTATGACAAATTCACTTTCTTGATGGTAAATATTTACCATATTACCAAGAAAAACAAAAGAAAAGTGGTTCCAATTTCTTTTTAATGCCATATATGATGGTTTCTCTAGGGGAAACAAATGTCATCATCTTGTTGTTTCTACCTGCTTTTCTCCATTAGATTTTTGAAATATTTGTCACAATTTTTATGAAATTCTAAATGGTAAGTGAAAATTTTTCATCGAATGCCGTCGGAAAGCCGTCGGATTGTTGTAAGATGGTTTGTTAGAACAATATATTTTTGAAATCTATTCAGAGATCTAGACCAAACTTATCTTGAAGGTAGGACAAATTAGGACAAATATTCATCAACTATACCTACAAACTGTTAATGTTAAAAAATTATAATAAAAGTAATTAGGTCATTTTTGGAACATAACAAATAGAATAGTGTGAGTAAGTGGCCATTGCAATCTTAACTTGACCGTTAATGAGTAATTGGGTTGAAAAGTTCACTGATTGCTTATATACTTTTCCCATTACATGTATATCTTATTTATAGTTACACTTTAGAGTTATCCCAAGGAACTACCACAGCAGCCGTACTTTGAATAGCTATTTACTATGGTATCTCGCTACCAAATTCACAGTATGTTAAACAAATTATTTCATAGTCTTAAGCATATTTATTTATATCATTCCTTCACTTAGAGCCATGTGCAACGATGAATTTCTATATTCAATGATGACATGATTAGATAAATATGAAACAGATTTCCAATAGAGAAACATTCTTAGTGAACAACGTCATTTTCAATGCAATAGAGATTATTGTACCATTTTCTTTTTTTAATTTTCAATTTTTTAATTTCTGACACTTCCAATAAATCTTGCAACGTTCATCTTTAAAATAGATACATACACCGTCTGTATCCTCCATTATAGGTGTTTTGGTAAAAGGGAACTTTAAAATTTAAATATTTACTTAAATAAATTTATAATGCTTATTGTTTATTTTGTATGCTAAATGTTACATGCTATTATTTAATTTGCCTTAAGTTTGTAGACAACAACCACCAAACAATTAACTGCGGCAATAAATCTTTTCTTATACATATGTGTGTATATATTTATTTTGAAGGTAGGTTCGATATCCACCCTAATGCGATCTCCTTCTCAATAACGAAGGGTCTACTTCTCCGTATTCCATGTCATTTCTAGGTGTTGATTCATTGAGTTCTTCTTCTTCTTGCTCAACACTTGAATTGTCAGGACCGAATTTTTTATGAACAGATAGATGATCATAATCTTTTGAAGTATATTTATATTGTTCATTGCCCATATCCTGCATCTCGTGGCCTTCGGAATTACTGAATTGCTCAGCTGCCTTGTGAACCAATGGTTCTTCTACAGTCTGGATAGAATCCTTGACTCTTCTGATACCTTTAAAGACACGGCGAATTCTTTTCTTCAAATATAAGGTAACTGGATCACTGCCACTTGAAACATCATTATCAGCATTTCTTTTGTTTTCTAACTCTTGTATATGATCCATGTTATCTAGTCTTTCACTTGGTAAAATGATAGCTCTATCGACACTATATGGAAGGCCTCTATTTCTTCCTCTAATTAACATTGCAATAATAACCAACTTTGAAATTGTAGTAAATTGTCCTGAAAAGGATTGATTAGTACCTGGATAACCCAACGATAAACCGACTGTACCATATGCACTTACAAGTTCAAATAAAATTGAGAAAACGTTAAAGTCTGGCTTTGTACGGTCTCGGATCTTACCACCTTCACAAATACAAATTATAAATAACCCTAAAAACAAGAACCATAAATCAAATGATAATTGTCTTCTTAAATGGGCTCCAATAAATGATTTTGCAGATGGTTTCTTTCTGGCCTTCTTCTTCATTTTAGCTCTCTTCTTTTTAGCTTTCTTCTTTTTAGCTCTCTTCTTCTTTCTTATTCTTTTGCTTCGTGGTGATAAATCAGGATCGCTTTCGCTTTCACTATCACTAGCACTATCACTATCACTGTCACTGTCACTGTCACTATTTTCATCGTCATTACCATCTACATCAGGACTATTCCCTTCAGATCCATAAATACCTAAGGACTGTTCTTCATAAACATTGGTTCTTCTGATGGAAATTGCCAATGGTAAAACAGACACATACATCATTAACATGTATGAGACCTGGATTGAAGGATGGAGTAAACTTAAGTCAATAACTGAAAAACCGGCAGTTCTGGTACAAACACCCTGAAATAAACCCACTAGAACCCTACGTCCCTTTGTTAACATCTCAACTACACTTGAATTGAAGTCAAATATAACAAAAAGAACTAAATCTGTAGAATTCAAGGCAATCAAAGTTACCAGTAGCCATAAAGTTGCCCCGCTAGGAAATAACAACGTGAAACAACGACGTGGATGATCAAGCAGAAATCCTAAGCTTTCTTTCATTGATGACAGATCAGGAGATAGTTTGAACAAAACCCAAATAATAAATCTCAATAACACTGGGAAACCAGTGTTACCGATAATAATAAACCAAATCATTACAGTTAATGGGAAAACGGCTCCTTTAAAAGAAGACATTGAATCTGGGGTTAGAGTTAGCCCCAAATCATTAAAGGCACTCATAGCTGTAAAAAACCCCCACCAAGTTGGTGAAACACCGTCACCTCTAACTATAACTTTGTATTCATGTTTATGTAGAACCCAAGGTAAGAAGAATATAAAGGCCATAACATGGAAACCAACGTAATAGACTAATAAAATTAAACATAATAACTTGATTGCTCTATATTCAACACCACCTAATTCGTTTTTTTGAGATCTATTCAGACCAACAAATGTGGAATTACGACCAATAGTAGGTTGCCATGATAGATAATTAGTGCTCATAGTTCTTGATAAACTGTGTGAAGGGTATGCCAAGTTAAAATCATGATCAAAATGCAAATGGTAGTTACCGATGTCTTCTTCATCATTATTATTTATTGAAGCTTCATAATTTTGCCCTAAATTAGTATCTTGTCTGCTAATATATCTCGAATTGTGTTCATTTATATGATTAGGGTTTCCAAAGTGAATATTATTATAAATATTTCCATCATTAGTGTCAACTGATTTGAAATGGCGTAATTCTGGCCTATCATTCTCGAAAATGTTATTGTTCCATTGAATATTTCTCATACCACGCCTTTTTTTATTGTTTTCTTTCCAATTCTTATATACAAGCTTTTGGAATTCTGGTGATTGTGTCAATTTATCTAGGTCACTAGGTGAAGCAACATCAAATGTTTTTGATCTTTCAAGCGGATTCATTTCATTAAATTCCCCTCTATTGGATGTGTTGGTTGTCGCTCTCTTCAAATTCACAGGTGTTTTCTCTAGATTAGGAATATCGTGTAGGCTACGTCTTTCATCTTCATTCTCGGAATAATAATCTTCATTAGAATGCTGGCTATTGTTTACGTTTGCTTTGTGTTCTGGAAAACTATCATCGTAAAGGAACTGTGGATCGTGAACACTGGCTCTTCTTTGCCTTAGCTTCTCCTTGAATTTATTTTTTTTCCTGAAAGATTTTAGAAAATTTGAACTACTTCTCTTAATTGGTTGAGGTCTTGTTTCAAATGACTGTGTAGTTCTCCTTTTCCTAGGAGGCGAAACTAAATTAAATTGGATGGAAGGTCCATTGTTATGAGGATGGTCATTATTTTCAATGTTGCCCTGTGTATTTCTTCTACTTAAATTTCTAATTTCACCTTCACTTTCTTCTTCAAACTCTGAGTCAAGTGATGAATCTGGATTTTCGACACGGCTATCATAATTAACTTCTGAATTTACAGAATGGTTGTCTCCGGAACTGCTGGAATCATCATAACTGTCATGCGACTCTATCGTATCATCCGAGTTCAGGGAACTCACTTCTTCTGAACTTGTAGAAATAGGATGAGAATCAAAACCCGTAGAACGATTTCGATTATTGTCATGATTAATAGTATTTGAATAGCCATCTGGCTCAGGACTATTAACTTTATTTAATTTAATCTCACCATTAGCAGGTTTGTTGTTATCTTTTGCGTGGCTGTACCTATCAGATGGAGACTCAATATTATCAGATGATTGATCATCACTATCATCGTAAGTGGGGGCCTTGATTACCAGGGCAGGACCTGAATCATCCTCCTGACGTTCTACCTTGTGTCTATCTTGTAAAATTGAGATTGAACGATACATATCAGCGGGTGTGATATCGGTTGATTTTCTACGACCAACAAATCTTTCAGGCTTTAGACCATTTCTTCTTTCTCTTGTTGGTTCCTTAAACATCAAGCTCGTCTCATGAGCTCCACTGTATTTCTCATCTTCAGGAGCAGTATTTATGCTTGCAGAAGATCTATTTAACTGGATATCGCTATTTTCATTGGGGGTTTCATTAGCTAAATTATCGAAGTGACCAATGTTATTTTGTTCATCCCTATTGACCATTTTACCGCTGAAAAGTTGTGCTTGGAAATCAGTTTTCTGGGTATTTCTGTTATTGCGATTTGAAGATCTATGCATATAATCTGAGGTATTGAATCTCCCCATAGAGGTAGTTCTTGCTGACATTGTTCTCGCCGTCATTTGTCTTTCGATGATTGTTCTTGTTCTTCTCATCTTGAAGTCTCTCTTAGAAGTAACTCTGATGCCATCAAAATGTCTTTCAAACCAATATAATCTCACAAATGCTAAGAAACCGTGGATTATAATAGGAGTTGATAAACAACAAATGATATATATAATAAGTTGTTGATATAAAGTCAATGAATTGACATCTACTGTGTTCAAACCACCTTGGGTAGTGGCACCTGCTGCTAGAAATAAGATGTCAATGTATGCATGGTTTTTTACAGGATATAATAAAATTGAAGCCAATATGGTCATTGAGATGATGTAAAAATAATGTACAGCAACGAAATTAGGGAATAAATATTTTTTAACTGGATGGAAATAAGTTGTAACAAAATCTATGCTATCACGAATTCGATGACCTATGCTCTTCTTATATTTGACATTAATTGAAGAGAAAGTTGGTACTCTTGATACTATTCGACGTAATTTCATTTTGTAAGTAAATGTAATTATTAATATGATGATTTTGAATGCAAAAATGGAATAAAAAATGACAGTCTGTATGTGATTATTTTGGGTAGTGGATATAAGACTCAAACGGTTAGACAATTGTTAAAAATGGGGAAATTGCAATGTGTTTCTTAGATAATGAATCGGAATAAAATAAAATGAGTAGCTAGTTTATAATTTGCGAGTCTGTATGAAATTTTTACCACTGCTCCCTTTAACCCAGAATATATATATGTGTGTGTTTGTATGTGTATCGAAACAAAAACTATCAAATGCAATAAGCAGTGATACACTTATCTGACAGTACGGATTTCTTTATGTATAAATCAGAAAATCCAATCAAAAGTTAACTTCGAATGTATAACTCAAAAGGTTGATTACAATTTGAGTAGAGGTAATTTCAAAATTTAAATAAAGTACGACAATATGGAAGCTGTTAAGAAACAGTATCTGAAAAATTGTTCAATCTATAGCTTAGCAAAGCCAGAGCCAAAGCCAAAGCTCCCAAAAGATAATAGTAAGAATAAAAAAAGTTTTGTTTTATTTTGAAGAAAACTGAGGAAGTATATAATCTAATCCTTACAGATTTAATATCAACCTTTATTTAGAAGTTAAGTTATCACTGAAAATTTTATATAATACAATTGTGTATATACGTTTGTATAAATACCATCCTTCTATATAACCTAAATATCAGATATTGACATTTCGAAACTGTTTATATAAAGCCTTTAAATTTTTCAAATTCTCGATGAGACGGTTCTATTCGAACATCAAATTTGAAAGTTGATATCAATCGCTTCGAAACTGACAATGAAAAAAAAGTAGGCAAAACGGAGGAGAACAGAGCACAGCATAGCATAAGAGATTGATCCAGCAAGAGAGAAAGATGGATATCTAATTACGATAAGATCAGTCTATAGATAGGAAGTCCATGCTTATGCAGGAAATTCAATCTTACTTGGAATGAGAAAATGTCTTAGAAGTCAGGTCAGATAATATTTGATGTAGATAGAAGATATATAGTTTGGACTACGAGTAGAAATGACATCTCTGTGAATTGGTTCGTCTAATACTGCAATTGTAAAAGCAGTCTTATTCATGCATTAGATTAATATAATGCACAACAATAACTATTATTATGTATGATGGACAGATGTAGAAAAAGATTATTTTAAGTTTGTTTTTAGTTGACGGCGAACAATAGCAATTAGTGTTAGTAGCAACAGTAACAGATGCAGTTGCAGTTGCAGTCGCGATGGCAGTAGCAATGGGAAATTAGTTTAATACGAATTATTTTTAATTTTTATAATTAGATTATTAATGATTTTCTTGCGTGTTCAGGAGTTAATTCAACACAATCTAAGTATTTTGGTGTTGTCTGTTTTGACGGAAATATTTGAACTATTTGGATCGAAATAGCATTTAATGGTTCCTGCCTGCCGTTTTAGTCCGTACTTTTCTTTACAAAATTCACTCAATCAGTACATGTTTAATAAATACATTTATAAAAAAAGTTTTCCTTTCATTATATCGCTACTATACAACAATTGATCTAGCAAAAAAAACAAAATATTACATAATTGTTACATGTATGCCTAAGTTCATTAATATTTGGATATACTGTAGTTAAATTAGAACAAGTTTGCTGATGCCCAACTCATCAGATTTTTGTTCCCTTATATTATAGTTCTTGGTTTGAAAAAATTGGGAAATGCAGTGGTAGTTTTGAATATGTATATATAATCTTCTTCACTTTTTATTATGATTACAATAATAATAAAAATAGTGATAATAATTACAATCCTCCTCTATGGAGAGCCGGTTGTGGCTTAGTAGAATCAATCTCATTTAGATCATTTTTCTTCTTATCAAGTCTGTCCGAGATATAATTTGAAATTTTATAATTTTCTGTCCTGTATTTCATTAACCATGGATGTCTTAATAATGATGTGTATGTTGGTCTTCTCTCTGGGACTTTTTGTAAACATAAAGAGACAAAATCCTGAGCTTCTTTACTAAATCTATCTTGTGGTAAATTTGGTGGTGGGCCATCTACAATGGCACTCAATTGTGAAAATATGTTATCGTAGGTCTCTGGTGGATATGGATAGCTACCAAGCGCCATCTCTAATATACTCAAACCCAAAGACCAAATATCAGACTGTACACTATATGTATTCATATCCGGATTAGCAGACCTTATCCTTTCTGGCGCCATATAAGATTGACAGCCAATATTTGTTTTTGCTAATGATGCCACAAGATTTCCAGAAACACCAAAATCGCATAACTTTATGGTACCTTGAGAAGCCGAACATAATATATTTGTAGGTTTAACATCCCTGTGTATTACGTTATGTTTATCTTTCAATTCCATTAACCCTCTTACTACGGATTCGGTAATATAAGCAAGCTGAGGTTCATCAATACCTCCAACTTCTTTAGACGAATCATAAATTTTATCTAATGAACCACCATCCATATATTCCATACACATATAAACTGCACCTTCTACAAAAAATGCTCCATAGAAATCAACTATATATGGAGAATTGCATTTGTGAAGTACTTCCAATTCCATTAGAATTTGTCTGAATTTTGATTCATCTAATTCTAATCTAACTTCCTTCACGGCCATGATGACATTAGTTGGTTTATGTAAAACCTTGGACACCGTACCGTAATTACCATTTCCCAATTCACCTAAAAATTCCAACTCATCTATTGAAATATTTGAACTCCCGCCATTGCTAAAATTAATACCTTTAGAAGATAAGGAAAGTTTACCAGCAAAATTTAGTGAACCTGATTTAACGTCAATATATTTTGCAAAATTGGCGAATAGACCACTAGGGACACCAGATAAAGTTTTAGATTTTGTTTTCACAGTTGAATCATTTTTGTTAAATCCATCTTCATCATTTGATTTTTTAAGATTCGATGAAGATGTTGAAGTGATTTGAATACCATTTTGTGAAGACCCCACATTTGCATTTGAATTGACAAAATTGCTACGGCTTATAACACTTTGATTGGAAGCCAATTGAAAATTAGAATCTTGTCCTTGAGTTTGGTTGCCAGTTGAAGATTTATTCAATAATGTTAGAGACAGCTTATCCAAAGGTAATTTCAATCCTCTTCTAGCACTTAAACTTTGAAGCTGTTTTTTGGGGTCAATAGGGGAATTGGCTGTTTCTTTTAAAGAATCTTGATTTGAAGCAGGCTTTTTGGGGGCAATTCTACTTGGGTTTAATTGTTTTGCGACAATATTCTGCATTATATGTGGTTCTATTATGTTATCTTCATCTTCTAAAGTTGCAATTGTTTCTCTAGTATAATGAGGAGATAGTTCGAAATCGATCGAAGATTCTGAATTATTTGCACCAGCTTTGACTAAATTATAACTATCAGTTAGACTTATCAAGCTACTTTTATTGCTTTGAGGTGACAAACACATCGAACTATCATTTACAGACACTTCAAATTGAGTATCCATATTTAAATCGAATGGAACTTGTTTATTTTGTAAATTATGAGAAGAAATACTTGATTCCAAAGATTCTGGTATACTTCTATTACTTTTAACACTTGCAGACCTCTTCAAGGCTCTTTGTTCCTGGAAGGCTTTTACCCTTGCTTGTAAATCAGCATTAATATTGGTGTACTGTGAAGAAGACGAAGGGCTTCTATGTAGATTTGAATTACTGCTGCTTGGCGTCTTCAGGTACTGATCATGGAGATCTCGACTGGCCATATCCACATGTCTTAAATCAGTATCGATAGTTAACTTTGAAAATTGATCCAGCATGATAGCAACCGATTTGTGGAAAAACACCAAATAAAATTGTAATATCAATTACTGTTTCTATATATCTGGATGTATCTGGATATCAATTCTTGTGCAGTAAGGGACCTTGCTGTGGTTTTCGATGAGACCCAGCACTAAATGAAAAATTGTGGGAAGAGTATCACTTATAGATCAAATTTAGTACGAAATAAATATATCTGCCACGAATTAGCCCTATTGTGGATCTATGTACATATATATATATATCTTCTCTTGACCCAGATGGAAATCTCAAAAGTACTTCCCTCTGTGAAGAAAGTAGGCTTGTAATTTTTCAAAACTTGAGATCAAATAAAGTGCTCTTATTCAACCAGATTTCTTAAGCAATAAAAAAAAAACAGTTAAATCCAGGAGGTGAATCAAAATCTATATCGAAATCAAGCAGACTAGAGTTTCAGTTGCTCCAGTTTCACGTAATTCTAGTATATATAATATAGCGTTATTTAGTATAATAAATCAAGAAAGGTTGCAGCTTCTCTATAAATATCAGATCTGTATTGAGACATCAGAAGGCGCAGTTAGTCGAAACGTTGAAATAGTTGTCTGATATACATATATACCCATATATATACCAATATATATATATAAATACAAATATAAATATTTACACCTAATGTATACTATAGATGTGGTTATGTAAATGTGTATGTGTATGTGTATGTGTACGTACAAGTAGGTATATGTATATGCATATGTATTGGAATCTGTTTGATTGATATTAGTTAGTGCCAGGATTTCACTACAAAACAAAGACAAATGTATCTGAAATCTAAACCTCTAAATACCACATTATCAAACCGACCCCTTCCCAAACCAGAGAGAATCACGCATACATATACCTGTTATTCTCTCAATCTTGAAGTAGCTGGCTAACCGACGTTGCACTGATGAACTAAGTCATTTAATATATATATTTAGCTTAGCTTAGCTTAGCTTAGCTTAATAATAGATAGATAGATAGATATAGAGACACTGGGGGATGTATTCGAGATCAAAGCAGAGAGGAACAGAATTGTTCTGATGATAGTTGGTGACATTTTAACATACAACGGCGACTACAGCTGTGACGGATCAAGAGATGAATTAAAATAACTCAAGGAGGTATGGGGAGATGTCTTGAAAATTGTGGGTTGACCTTGAACAGTAACAACAATATTGCGTAACATAGCATGTTGTAGCAGTACATTTTAAAAATATAACAGTTGCAGTCGTTGCATCACATTCAATTATTATTGAACTTTGGTTGAGGTTATGTGAGAGATGATAAATGGATGGGGAAGCTTATGGTAGTGGGATGATTCAAGTTTATGGTTGGATAGTTACTACAAGGTGCATATGTGGGTTTAATATTGATGTTATGTACGTCGAGGGCAATCAAGTTGTGTTTCCCTGTATCCACTATGTTCGAGAGGTCGGTATTATTTTAGATTTCTTCCTGTCTTGATGGTGCGAATGTCTTTTTATTGGATTTTTATATAGTTACTAAATAAGTTAATTAATTCTAGACATGCTTTATGTAAATGCTTCTTGCTTAAGAATATGGGAAAATATACTGAAAGAGAATGTTGGTTATTCCATTTGATTATTCTAAATAATTAGATTGTGTTACTAACGTTATCAATACACAACTGCTCAAGTATCCCAGAAATTGGAAAAATGCCTTACGTGACAATTGTATCTGTTGATAAGATGTATGCGATTCTGTAAATATATCTCTAATCTGTTTAAAAAAGGAAAACATTCTATACTTTCAGATCAAACGAACAAACTGAAACTAAAACTTAGTTACAATACTCACTTGTCCAGATGTGTGACCTTCTTCTTTTATTGGTAAGGTTAATACGGATGAGATTGAACTATTTTGTATATTATAATCTAATTTTATACTTAAGTTTTTTTTCAACTTGATGATTCCTTGTTGCTTCTCTACTATTAAGGAAAAAGCACTTCAACTTTACAGCATCTGAAGGTACTTGCGTTTTCGTTGTATCCTGTATATATCAATTAGCTTGAAGAGTATCCCAATTCCTTTTTTGCTCTACGTTTGTTCTCTTCGAGATTTCTGTTATTTCGTTAAGTTTCTTCATCACCCCACACACTCCCATTAACATTTTTCACCAAGTCTAGTAATAGTAATTCAGGAGATTGAGCTTTATATTGATGTGTATCTATCTAATGTACTACTCATTTGTATTTATGCTATTTATCTGTGGATATCTATATGTAAAAACCTTCATATTTTTTGGTTATATATGCTTCTTTATATGGTTGATCGTTGTTGAAACCATTTTTTCTTAATTTTACAAGCATCATATTCTGTTGTCTCCCTGGATGAACCTTTTAAAGTTTAATGATTATTATTATGTTTAAAAATTAATGTTCTTATTTGTTGGAACGTTTTCTTGTTTCGTTTTCAACCATTTCAACTACTTCAAATACGTTCTTCTCCAGACTTAAAATTGCCTCATTCATCATTTCTTCGTCTGCATTATTCATAATAGCTGGTACTTCTTCGTTACCTTCTCCAGTGGTATCTTCTGTATGTACTACCATCTTAGATGCCTCACCCCTGTCCTCTGCAACAGTTAAATATCTTCTTCTTTTTCTTGCTTGCTCTTCCTCTACAAATCTGTCAAATGCATTCATATTATGTTCACTGCTTAAACTAGTCTCTATTGTTGTTGTTAATTCTGATGTATCAGAATTCAAATCTTTGGAGCTAATCATAGAATTATCATTGTTCATAGAACTAACTATTATCGATCCTTTAGCTTGAGTAATATCAGGTGGTGTGGGTTCAGCCTCTTCGTTTTCAACATCGTTTTGTAAGTTTCTTACTACTGCAGCTGCCATTTGTGATAAAGTAGATGTATGATATGTATCCTCGTTATTCTCTCCGTGATGTTGTGGTAACATATGTGCCTGTCGTACATTTTCTGAAGGCATAACAATTACACCAGTACCATCTTGATGTCTCATTTTACATTTGGGACATTGTGCTATAACTTCAGAAACTGTACTTTTAATACCTTTCCAGTGATATCTTTCTACAATTCTGGAAGTTATTTTATTAATACCTTGATGTTCAACAATATGCATTTCTAATGCAATTTGTTTTTGTTGTTCTGGTTCGTAAATGATTTCACGTCCTTTTGTCGTTAACTTGCCGTTTTGCAATGAATGTGTTTTTGAAGAAACACGTAATCTTGCCTTTTCATTTCTGTCACAGTGAGGTGGATATTTTCCTGTTTCTAGATAATATCTTAATCTTTCATATTTAGCAATATCATTACTCTGTTGAGGGTCCCGCAGAGAATCTATACTTTTTGTTATATGTGTAAATTCTTTACCATATATAAAGGAATCAACAGGTACATCAAAACCTTTTAATATACCAGACTCTGGCAATTTACCAATCCTTCTGAAATTTAACACTTCTAAAATTCTTCGTATTCCTACATTAGTACCATAAATCAATGGGAAGCAACAGGAAGTGAATCCTAATCGTTTCGACCATTCAACAAAAGTTTCAACCAATGTTTTACCTATACCTTTGCCTCTAATACCTGCATTGACTAAGAAAGACCCAGTAACAACATGAGATGATCTACCAGGATAAGCAGGTTGTAGAGAGAAGATACCTAAACATTGTTTCTCCCATTGAATATTTAAGTTTATATTCCTTCTTTCTTTCCTTTTCTTATATTGAGCAGTATGTCTCATAGTTTCAATTTCATCTTCATGGTTATCTTTATTAATATCCAATTCTGATAATTCATCGTCATCTAAGCTATAATCAAGTTCAGGAATTTCCCCTAACACCATGATACAAACATGACCACCTTCATGGAACCAAACTTTTTCAAATTCTTCTAGATTAAGCATATCATAATAAGGGAAACTATCACCTTTTTCAATTTCCATATTAAATTCATCTAATAAAAATGCTAATAAACCCTTTGGTAGTAATTCTGGATATGCAGGTATTGGATACATAGTAGCTGTAGTCTCTCCATCTTTCAGTAGCACTGTATGTGGCTGTAACTGAGTGTTATACAGACTCTGTGATTGCTCTTCTTCTTCTTCATTTAAAGTATTCCGTATATAATTTTGATCTTGATTTCTCGTTACTGAGTCAGAATGCAAAAACATAATAATGGCAATATAGCTCCATATAGAAACTAATCTTTGGCCTTTCTAGTAAATATCTTAGTCCTTTATATAGTTTGGGTACTCCCTCACAATCACTATGTTGCTGTATATCTTTTAATAAGGCCTTAGTAAAGTCTGTATTTTCTCTAATTTTATATGGCTTTAGTAATCCAAATTGCTAATGTCATTTCAAATCCACGCGTCTTTTTTTAAATTTTAGGATTAAAATATTCATTGGGTCACGCGTTCTGCGGGTAATTCTCTGAATTTTGTCAAATATTCAATATTATTATTCAATGAGATAAACTACTTCAAGCTATTGAAAGACTCATCTAGATGACTAAGATTTGATGTTCCAACTAATTTGGATTAATGAAAGTTTAAAAAATTAACAAAGGCCAGTTCGAGCCTTCTTTTAATTGGAATTATTAAAAGTGGCCAAAATTACCGACTAGGATCTATTGAGACTTAATTGATCAAATTAAATTGTGAATTAAACTTAAAATGTCGAAAATATTTAGGATAGCTGTTGGACAATTATGTGCTGGAAGTAATTTGAGTAAGAATTTGCAAGTTGTCAAAGATTTGATTAATCAAGCTATTGATAAAAATGCTAGAGTGATTTTTTTCCCTGAAGCTACAGATTATCTTGCAAAAGATGCATCACATTCTATAAAATTAGCTCACCAGAGTGATCAATTTATTAAAAATTTGCAAAATTTTATAAAGGAGACAAACTTATATAAGGGGAGGTCGATTGATGTCTCTATAGGTGTTCATATGCCATCTAGTGAAAATATTGGTAATAATATGGAGAAAGTTAAGAATGTTTTAATTTATATAAATTCTAAAGGTGAAACTATACATCATTATCAAAAAATACATCTTTTTGATGTTGATATTGCCAACGGACCCGTACTAAAAGAATCTAATTCAGTCCAACCTGGAAATATTATTCCCGACATTATTGAAACACCTGTTGGTAAACTTGGTTCTTCAATTTGTTATGATATTAGATTCCCTGAGTTAGCACAAAGATTAAGGATTAAAGGTGCTGAAATTATCTGCTATCCAAGTGCATTCACTATGAAGACGGGTAAATTACATTGGGAAGCATTAGGCAAAGCTAGAGCCTTAGATACACAATGTTTTATAGTAATGCCTGGCCAACAAGGGGTGCATGAAATTGAAGATTTAGAACCTAATAAGAAAAGAGAGTCATGGGGACACTCAATGGTTATTAACCCTTGGGGTCAAATAATTGGCGAGATTGAGAGTACTGATAGTCAACCAAAATTATTAGTGGTCGATTTGGACTATAAAGATTTAAATGAAGCTCGTGAGTCTTTACCAATATTTAAACATAAAAGGGTTGATATTTTCGGCGACTAAGAACGGGTAGCAGGCACATAAAAAATGAAATAATGAAAGGCTATATATTAAACCAAGTATATAAACATCGATGTTAGAGTGTAAAAGTTATAAGGTTGTGCATGCCTTGGATTGAGTATCGTTATATTATACTTATTCAGAGTTATAGGAGTATTTCATTATTATTATTATTATTTTGGGGTAGATTCGAATAGTAAAATTCTAAGATGTCATTGTTCAGAAGTTTGCAATCACAACCAAGGATAATATCAATTTTCACAAACAATATTGCAGGCAATAGTAGTGCTAAACTGATATATGATAAATTACGTCAGAATGAAGAAACCAAAGCCGTGGTGCATATGGAATTGCATGAGAAGTTTCCAACATTGGATCAGTTAAAGTATATGAATGATATGAATCCTAAATTATTAAAAGATGAAATTCCTAATATAAATGAGCTATTAAAGAAACCAAGTCATGATAAATTGTTTGGGTCTAATCTAAGTCAATGCACAGAAATGGGGAATTGGAAATCTAACACAACTATTTGGGTTGACTGGGAGAAACAAAAAATAGGAATTGACGTTAAGAGTTTGGAAGATGATTTAGGGAAGAATTGAATGGAGTTGTTGTATAAAACACGGGTCATCCTATTTACTGAGAGTACAGGATCCTCATTCAGTTGACTTCAAATAACTTTAAACAAGTAAAATAACAGATATATATGAGTATATTTATATATAAACTATCTATACAGTTAGATAAACTTTTTTTTTAATTATTCTTCATAGATATTATCCTTGACCAATTGTTCCTTCACGGTTGCTTTCATATAATCGATGACATCTTTTGGATCAGCGGCGTTGAATACAGCGGTACCAGCCACGATGACGTTAGCACCAGCGGCAGCAGCAGCTGGAATGGTTTCTTTACCTAAACCACCATCGACTTGAATATTTAGATTTGGGAACTTTTTTCTTAAAGTTTCAACCTTTGGCATCATATCAGGCATAAATTTTTGACCACCAAAACCTGGTTCAACAGTCATGACCAAAGCCATATCTAGGAAAGGAGCCAATTCGAATAAAACATCTACTGGAGTACCTGGGTTAATTGCGCAAGCAGCTTTAATACCGTAAGATTTGATTATTTTACTAAAGCTAAAGGATCTTTAGTTGATTCATAATGGAAGGTGAATTGGTCAGCACCACATTGTACGAAATCTTCTACCCATTTTTCAGGAGATTCCACCATCATATGACAATCGAAGAAAGCCTTTGGTTTATCTTTATTTTCCACAGAAGAATCATCTACACGAGGGACACAATGACGCAATGAAGTTACTATAGGTTGACCCAAAGAAATATTTGGGACGAAGTGGCCATCCATGACATCGATATGTAACCAATCTGCACCAGCATCGATTACTTTATGACAATTACAACCTAAGTTAGCGAAATCAGAGGCTAAGATACTAGGGGCAATGATAGGTTTGACCATTTTTCTGTCTATGTGTAGTTTTATTTGATTAGATCGAAGGTGTATAAAAGAGAGTGTGAAGCACTTTGGTGTCCATGCAATGTGGTAAGAAAGAGATTCAAATTGGGATTAGAATTGGAATTGGGAATTGAATGTGAAGTGAGATAGAAGTTTTTATATTAGAAGAAAAGTGTTGATGGATAGTTGTCCAGATTTAAATGTATAAATTCGAAATCGATTCGAAATCGAAATTAGATGAAAAATCAATGAATTGGGATGAAAACAATGCAGTTCGCTAAGAAGGGAAAAGAAGAAAGGGAACGGAAGGGGCAGAAGAAATTCGAAATAACGTTTAGTATATGGTACGGTAGGGTACGGTATGGAGGGGGGGCAGCCAGAGGGAAGATGAATAAGGGTTGAGACCAGAACAGAACAAGAACAAGAACAAGAACAAGAACAAGAACAGAGAGACGAGATTGAAATTGAAATTGAAAGTTGAGAAACAATAGAGATTAATGGAGAGTATATGGTATTGTGAATGCCAGTAGTAATGGGGAAGACCTCCTTGTTAATGAAAAAGTTTGTTAAGACAGCGACTGGATATGTATCTGAATGGGGGACGGGATTATTTTAGCAAGGGATATAATAGGTCCAAGAAACGTAAGATGTGTTACCTCTTTTATGTTAAAGAGGTTGTTGTTGTCTTGTGGGAATGTTACAGACTGTTTTTTGTTATATGTATAGATTAGGCAGTTTTGTGTATCAGTTTGACAAGAACTGTTATGGTATGTGTTTGTTTCAATTTGATTTTGAAGTGGTTGTTGTAACATGTATCACGTTATACGACACGCAATGGGAAGACCCAACGAGAAGTTTAGGGGAAGCCTCATTGCAATCACAATGATCCATATATATCATACCATACATACCATACCATACCATACTAAAGGACCAACATTGGTTTATGTAGTTTAAATTATCTTGTATTTGTAGCAGTAAAATGTATTGAAAGTTGGAAAGAAACCAAGAATCCGTCAGAGAACCATGTGCTTCCGTGGGGAAGGGGGTGGGAGCAGAGTTTATCCTTTCCGGTGCATGTGACAGACTCTGTTTCGCTACCCACACAATTGGGTCAGTTTATCCTCTGTATACCCGGACGTGAGAGGAGAAACAATTTGGTTGTATCAAGAGCAAAATGCAAAATGTGAAGGCAAGTGCAAGTGCAAGTGCAAACGGCAAAGGCATATACTTTGATTGATTGATTCATTGATTCATTTTACCCACAAACCAGCAGCTCTAAGTAACGATCGGTCAAACTGTAAAGTATGCATTTTAAGATGCCCTATCGTAGTGTAGCTTAGCGTAGCTGAGACAGATAAGTCTCTTTTCTGAATTACAAGTTACCCGGTTCTCGGAATTAACTACTGTCAGTCCCACCCCAGCCCGGCCTCCCCTCCATTCCTTCACGGGAAGAATATGACATGACTACTTGTTCCATCCATCGTTCTGTACTACGTCACTATAGCAGTTTCTCCCAGCGAAGAGTTGATCACAAATGATTATGATTAAGGTTTGTCTATTATGGATGCGTATTATGTATTATGTATTATGGTTATGGTTATGGTTCTTACAGCAAGCATAGCTGGGACACATCAGTTATATCAAATGTATCGCAATGTATGTTTGAGAAAGGTGGACCGTGATCTGCTAACACGAACACTGGCACGAGCTCTTAACATTCATTTCAAATTTTTCATCAATACCCTGTTTCTTCCGTAACTTGATTCGACTTGTAGTCACCATCTCTAATTACCATCTCTAATTACCATCCCATCCCATCCCCATCCACTAGACAATTTACCTTTTTACAAATTACGTTTTACATTTTACAAATTCAATCGACAGTTTTGATCTTGGCTTACAATTTCTTGAACTAACAGATAAATGTTCTTCTCTCTCGCTCTCACTCTCACTCTCACCTCTTTGCTTCAAATGACCCTTCTCGAGTGCTCATAACCCAACATGGTCTTCGTTTTTTCGTTTTTCGTCTTGGTGATGGTGAAGATGGTGATGATGATGGTGATGCTTCTTGCTATCCCACTGCTGCAACTTTTGCTGCAGCCACTAATCTATCCAACTTGGTGGGTGCCGATGGTGGTGATGCTTCTGCCATCATAAGATGTGAATTCCTTTTTTTTTATTGCTTGCCATTGGAAATTTTATTACTATCTATCATTTTTGGTTTCGTCTAGTTCCTCTCCCTCTTAACACCATGACAATTTAATTTAGTTTAGTTTTATTTTATTTTATTATCTTTTATTCTTTTTTTTTTCATCTATATAAAAACCTAACATTTCTTATTCATTCAACATAATTGGACTTTAACTCTTGACTTTACCATTTATTTATTTATTCGTTTATTTATTACTCTCATCAAGATAGTCACACACTAGATATACAAACTACTATACATTAAATTCGTTAACATCGCCAATAATGAAACCAAGTTCACCTGCTCCAGCCACTGATTCCACAGCTATTAAAATTATCTTCAATAAGGATACTTTTGAAACTTTTGCTCAGAATTCACCTACTTTAAACCATTTGACTAAATATAAGATTATTTCAAATTTGATCAACTATTTACTATCAATTTCAATCTTAACTAAGATTTTGTCCATTTATATGTCTTTGAATTTGAAATTGAAAAATAATCTCATTGATTCCCCAAACTCACCTTTCTTTATTAAAATCTCTTATAAATATTTGGAAAACTTCATTTGGAAAATCGACGAATTGTTTAATTTGTTAATATTAAGAGATGGTATAGATTCTTTGATCAACCAATACAATAAGCCTCATGAAAAAAATATCATTCCAGGCTCTTGGTTGGTCTTTTTCACCATTGATTACATGGCAAATATAACAAACACTTTGTTACAAGAATTTATTGTAAAGCCATTTAAAATGCCAAGTTTGCCAAATTCAAATAAAAAGTCAGATGAGATCCAAGATTCTGAAGAAATCAACAATAAGAATTTGCCACATGTAAATGAACTTTCCATCACAACTAAAACAATCTCAACAGATTTAAAAGATATGGCATTTAAGAATTACGAAAAAATTGTAAAACCTGCCACTGATAAAATTCAATCTTCAACTTACGTCAATACTGCAAAGGAAAAAATAAATAATATCGTTAAGCCTACTGTTGACACTGCTAAAAGCACTTATAAAACTGTCTCAACACAATACGAAGATAATTTGAATAAATCAGAAAGTGTACCAAGAGCTTTGGTCTCTACAAGTGTAGACTTGGGTAATTTGACTTTGGAAAAGTTAAAATTGACAAAATCCAATGAAAATGAAAACACAATCTCACAAGATGAAGATAGTTCATTACAAAAAAATGAATCTATAACTGCTGCCTCTGACACCACCACTACCAATTAACTATCTAACGATGAAGATGATGGTAACGACACAGATTTTTCAACCGACACTCAATGGGATCAATTTCAAAAGGACAAAAAATTCTTATTAAATGATGCTACTGAATTGACAAATAATAATAATTCGGCCATTGTCACCACAACCAACACTACAACTACAGTTTCAACAAAGATTACTCATCATCACCATCTTCATCAAACTACAAATATCAACAACAACTATCATAGGAAATTCATCATTACAATCAAAACAATCCCCCCTCCTCTTTATCTTCCTTTCCTATATGTGTCTCTGGTTTTATATATTCTCTTAAGTAGCTATCACCTTTAAAGAAACGTTATATTCCACGTGCTTAACACTTAGAATCATCTCATTCAGTTGTTTTTTTTTTGCCTACCAAAATTAACGTTAAATAATCGATAATTAAGCTATTTTTAAAATAATTCTTAACTATGGCCAGATAATAACCGATTTTATCAATTCCACATCTCTCTTACTCGCTGTCTACCTCTCTATAACTTACTTATTTCATTATACAGCAACATGCTTTACAATGGATCAAAGTACCTCTTACTAAGAAGAGAGGCATCAAAATTTTTTTTTTCAGCACTTTTTCACTTTAGATTAAAAATTGAAAAAACATGAGATGATGATGGTTTTGAACTTAACAATGGTAATGATTAAATATTAAAATGTGTATATAAATATGTATGTATAGTCAACAGTTTCAAATTTTTCTGTATATTTTGGTTCTGAATTGTTATTCTTGATTATAAAATCTTTATAGAACTATTACACCAATAACTATGATATCTGGTAAAAAAAATTTACAAATACCTCAAGTTGATGCTTCTTTAGATAAGCCATTAGATAAGGATGCTCCACCAACTATTTATGGTACTTCGTTGACTCCTGAATTAGCTACTGCATCTTTAAACTTATCTGTTGATTTTATTAAGCAACAGCAATCAATTGCTAATAAGTTTTTATTATTTCATCCATTCACATTATTCTCTATAGGTACAATTGTTACACTTTACCTTGCTTTGAATTTATATTATCCTGGTAATATCACTTCAAGTTCCATCTCTGGTTATTTATATCAATTTTTCTTACTAAATAAAAGACAATTAGGTACTGGTGCTATATTGACTTTGGGATCAACCTCTTTTATTTTCACCTTATTATCAAGAGTCACTGATGCTTATTTTAAAAGTAAAATTAATGAAGTTACAAATTCCAATGGTGAAGTCATATTTGGTGTGAATCTACCAAAGCTATCAAGTTCAAATGATTCCAAAGAAGCCAACTCCCCTCAACTGAAAAATACTCATATCGTTGTATATAGACAAACCCCAATTGCTTTGGTTACAGTTAATGAAAATAAAGTCTTATCTTCTGACGAATCTTTAGTTATGTCAATGTCAAGTATTGGTTGTCGTAGAGTTTATATTAAGAGTGGTATTTTAGAAGATTTATTGGATTGGTCAATGATTCGTACTAGAACAATTGCTAAAGAAGGTAAATATGGCCAATCGATGAAACTTGTGTATGCTATTTATTCGTTTGATGAAGAAATGAAAAAGGTTTTATTAAGGAAAGGTTTCAAGAAAGTTCAATCTGTTAAAATTAGAGATAATAGATTATTAGGTGGTTTATTCGGTATTGAAACTGAATTATGGGGTGTTCAATTTCGTATTGAGCCAACAAAATAAATGAAAAAGGTGTAATTTTTACTAAATTAAATTTAATTTAATATAATATAATCATTTCAACTATAATTTATATACTTTGGTTTAACCACTTCATAATAAATATAAATATAGATGTTAAAGTCATTAAAAATAAGAATATAAATAATGATGCACATCAATGTATGCTAGAATTTAATGAACTGATGTAAGTAATTTCAGATCTCAATAACGTAAAATAAAAATGCAAAAACGTAATTCTTATAATGAATTCTAATAAAATATCCTATCGTTGGTACAAAAAAAATGGTAATTTCATAATCTATAATCCTTATCATGTTAATTTATGGTTCTTTCATGTTATAATCTATAATTTTATATGTTTGGAATCTATGGCGTTCATCATTAAAAACAATTGTCGAAATATTTTATGATACTCTATATCATACATATCTTGGTAACAATCCATCATTATAATTGTTTCTTTTCTTGATATGCCTAATAGTAACTCTAATATAAACTGTAGCCAGATAAATAAATGCTAAGATCAACACATACAATACCACTTTGAAAAGACCTCTGGCAATTCTTGTAGGCAGAGTTTGGTTTGTAATTTTATCCTTTTTAAACTTGGTCGATTTCCTGGTATTCTCTGTGTGTTTATAGCTTGGTTGAGCCTTTAAATATTTCCATTTAATGAACTCATCTCTCTCCATTGTCACTCGTTGGCCAAATTCTTTTTGTAGGAATAATTGAACTTTTTGTACATAATCGAAGCTTTCTTCAATTGATTCATCTTTACCTTCCCAATGAAATTCGTTAGTTTGAATATTAAGAATGTCTATATTTACAGGGTTTTCATTAGATAATGCACCTACACCTATGAATCTCTGGCCAGTTTTTGGATTTTTTGGAACAAATAATGGATTTTTTGATTGGTATAATTCTATCCAAATATTTCCTTCAGATTCATACTTGATATCAATCTTTAAGAAATTAATACTCTCTAGATAAATCAACCGAAGTTCTACATCATCGCCACTCAACATAGAATCCTTTAGTTTTATATGATTAGGGTTTAATTTTATAATATTACTATCTTTACCGTCACTAAAACGGTCATAATGGTATTTTGAAGGGTCATTATTAATAAAAGCATCGAAAAATGGAGCTGATGTAATAGTTGATTTGTCATTTTGATAGCAATCTAAAACTAGGGATAAACCTGGGAAATTTTTTGGGAAACCCATTAGATCCGTACTTGAAGGTAAAATGCCTCCAGAATTTATTTCGTATTGTCTTTTTGAATAAGTAGAATGCAAATCTGTAGTTAAGAATTCATTTTCTGGCGTAATTAATAACACTAATCCTTCACTACTTGAAGTCGCCTTTTTAGTATTAATTTGATCTTTGTTTGAAGATATCTTGAATTTCATTATGATTTCAAAATCATTAATTGTATTATCGCCAATCCCATTTGACATAATCAATCCATTTGAATCTGGATTTGAAGCGGAAATCAACCGTATGTATTCTGCATTCCTTATTTGTGGTTGACCACCTACATACCAAAATTTATTAATTTTATCTAAAAATGGTACAGCTAAACTTGCATCCTCATTTTTAACTCTCACGATGCTATTCCCACTCTCCTGGTCTACTTTAAATCTTTCTATAGGATCAATCAATGGATTTATTCCATTTTGATAATAATTATTAGGGATTGATCGAGTACATAATTGGAAGATCAAAAATATAAAAGTTATGATAGAGCCTAATACAAGTTTGTCACGATCATCTCTCTTCATTTCGCTGAACAATCGATAATGCAAACAATGTGTATACGTATATACAGAGAGAGAGAAATTAACTACAAAACAATATCTGGAAGTAGCGTATTCCTTGGTTCAGTCGGATCAGATCAGATCAAAATTTAATCTCTACCAGTCCTAGACTCCTCAAAAAACCTTTTTATTGGAGACAACGAACAAACTTTATTTAAATACTGAACAATCTCCAGTTTTGAATGGACAGATCATTAAATCATATCCAAAGCATAAACTAAATTAAAATAAGTTAACATCAATACAAGCTTTGATCCTGTTTCTTAAATGATATCGATTTCGAATTCGAATTCGAAATTTCGAGATGGGCCACATATTCGCGATGACGTTGATATCGAAACCTTAAAATAGTTTCTTTTCGCGATGAGATACAGAGCAGAACCTGCTAAAGCAATGACAAGTCAAGATGAAGTTGAGTTAAATTAAGTTAAGTTAAGTTAAGATTGTTATAACTGGACTGACAGATTATCATATGGTTAAGGTAGTTTTAAGATTGGTTGTGGGAAAAAGAGCACAGTGAATTCGTTAAATCTCAATTGATTTGGACGGATTGTATCAGCCTGAACTGGACTAGAATGAACTGAACTAGACCAGGTCAGTTTAGATTGAACTTGACTAGAATAGCGAAAATATATATATATATTTGTAAGGGAAACAGATATGGCATTATGGAATCAAAGACAATCACAAAAAGATGTACATTATAGAACTAGATAGCATATTTGGACCTGTCATAATTTTTCCTCCATTATAAGTAAGAAAAAACAAAGATGTGTTAGAGTGCAATATATATATATGTGTGTGTGTGTTTGTATAGCTGTGTACAAGAGTAGTATTAGGCTTGCAATAATTGCAAGAAAACTAAGACCATTCAAGTAACCTATCACACTTCTCCATATGGCATGCCATAACCATTTAATAAGTTAGAAGATAACAACGTGGTAACAACACCTGGCATATCTGTATTCTATTGGTCTCTTGTTACAAGAATAGTTTTACATCTATACATGCATATACTTATTCATAATACAATACATAATACAAAGGCGATATTACGTATACATACAATTTGTGTCGTTATATTGCATTATCCCCTGATTAATAACCGTTAAACTCCTAGTGTCTAATGGTGCGGTAAACGTAAATGTAAATGTAAAGATAAATGTGAAAGATAGAGATAATACTACTAAACGTTGACCTCACCATGTTTTTGGCAGACTTTTGATTAGTTCCCAAGGATTGAACGTTTCTTGAAAGTATGGCTGAAACCATTCGATTCGATATTCTTTTCTTTTCATGTAAATTACTTCAATTCCAAATGGGAGAGAACAAGAACAAGAACAATACCACCCCTTGTATCGTTAATTCAATCCAACCAAATGGAATCACTTTTACAAAGAAAACAAGCTTAATTAATTTACGTTCCATCCCTTTCACTCCCTTTTCCCAATCCCTTTCCTACTTCTTCTTCCAATTCCAATTGCAAATGTAGCCCCCCCCTTCTCCCAAAATCAATCCAACATCTCATCGCTTACACTCTGAGCCCCTTCCCCCCTGCTCTCGAAAACTCTTCCATTACTTGCATACATGTTCACCATAATGGCCTGTCATTATTACAAAATACCTTAGATTCATTCAATTCACTACAATTCACTACAATTCACTACAATTCAAGACTAATTTTAACGTGCTTTCCTTTACTTGGCTTTGCCATATACTTTTGCTTAACTTCATAGAACACTACTTCAAAATCTACAAGTTCCTTTAAATTCCAATTCGAAAGCTTGGAGGGCTTCCTGCTTTCATCTGTGCACAGAAAAAACAAATCAGTCGAAAGAAGGATTCCATGTTGGTTTAGCCGTCGTTGTTTCTTTGTCGATGTTTCGTTTCGAAAAGTTTTCTTGGAAGTGGGTTGGGGGATTTATTTAATTATTAATAAACAGGTGGGGTTCAGTACTCTTTTCCATGGTATGAGCAACCCCAGAAACTTAAGAAGAAGTTAACTGAAAAAACTAAAAATGTTTTCTAGTAGCTACCGTCTACTTCCTCTCTGATTAATAGCAAAAAATAGAAAAAGAAAATTTTTTTCAGTTAATGATTGATGGTGATGACTTAGATTGCTAAATTTAATATTTAAACAGGATGCAATTGTTTAGTAAACTCAATTGGAAAATACTTTTCTCTAAATTGATTTCAATTGACCTCTCAATTCATCTTTCTCGGTAGACTTTCTCTTTCTTCTTGCGTTTGCTCTCTTAATCTTAAACTATACTGAAATATCACAGTTCGATAAAAAAAAGGTACTTCGAAATATTTGATTAATTGTCAAACAATAAGAACCTTTTACGTCAACCATACTATAGATATATTTGTACGATCCCAATCATGACTAAAACTATCCAAAGATGTGTCTTTATCAGACACGGTGAAACTAAATGGTCAAAGACTGGTCATTATACCGGTAAAACTGATTTAACTTTGACTGAAGATGGTGTTGCTGAAATGGAAAGAGTCGGTAAAGGTATCTTTGAATATAACTTGGTTAATCCAGACCGTATTACCCATGTTTTCGTTTCTCCAAGAACCAGAGCTCAACAATCTATGAAATTGGTTTTGAAGGATTTAACTCCAGAACAAAGAGCTAGAGTCAAGGTTACTGTCGATGAAGATATCCAAGAATGGGATTATGGTGATTATGAAGGTTTAATGACCGCTGAAATTGAGGAATTGAGAAAAAAGAGAGGTTTGGATAAGGAAAGACCATGGTCTATTTGGAGAGATGGTTGTGAAAATGGTGAAAGTACTCAACAAATTGGTAAAAGATTATCAAGATTTATTGCTAGAGTACAAAAAGCTCATAGTGAAGCTCAAGCTGCAGGTCAGTCATCTGATATTTTAGTATTCGCACACGGTCACTCTTTGCGTTACTTTGCAGCTTTATGGTTCATGAAAGGTATTGAACAAGATTGTGAACCTCTTCCAAACAAGCCAGAGGGTGTTTCTCATGATGAAAATGGTGTTCCATTTGTTAACATTACAAAATTCAGATATTTGAACGAAAATCCAAACTTCTTGTTATGTGCTGGTGGTGTCGGTGCCTTAGGTTACAGTCATTACAGTTGTGATGAACCAGCATTAGATTTATCAGGTGCTTTCATTCCACCATTGCCAGAAAGTTCCTTGAGATAAACTTAATAAATGACATTTTTATTATTATTTTGTTTTTATTACTGATATTTGTATTGAAATCAAAGGGACGTACTAGGTAAAATGTTTACAATTTTATGTAATCATATATGAATAAATAAATGAATATTTTTCTATAAAATTTACAATTCTGATGGTGAATTTTATAATTGGTAAAGTTAAAGCAATTAATGTTAAGACGATTCAATCTACTTTCTTGAAATTGATTAAAAAAATAGGAATAAATACCCTTAATAATAAATTATAAATGTTTTGGGTAACAAAATTAACTTTTTCCTTAAGATGTTTAATTCCATTTGTATGACATAAACGTTAAAACAAATAAAAAAATAGACTTTAATAAGTAGGTTTTCTAGTAATAAGATTAATAGTACAAAAAATAAATACGGTATAAAAGGTGCTCACTAGCCATTGTAAAAAGTATAAAAACATAAAAAACCGAATGAACAAAATATAATTGAATTAAAAGCATCAAGCCTTAATTCACGAAGATCGAAAACAGAAATAGTAAAGACAAAAGAGCATATAACAACCGAAAAAAAGATAAATGTGTTACAAATTTGAATTTCAAAACCTGAAAAAAATTGGGTATAATAGAATAGTATCATAGTCGAAATTTATAACAAATTGGTTGTAAACTTAATTAAACCAATTGCCAAACAACTAATCAAAATTTTTTTTAAAAAAAACAAACATGATAAGGCAAAAGCATAAAAAATTGGAAGCTACTTTAAACATACGGCTGTGAGTTATAGTGTGATTTATTCTTGCAATAATTCATTTAGTAAAAAACAAATTTTGCAGAACCTTTCAAAACTGAAACAGTACAGCCAGAGGATGAACCACCGGTGAATTGACCATTTTCATAAGCACATACACCACTTAAAGAGGAACCATCAGTAGCAACAATCTTAACATTAAAGTTAGCAGCATCTCTGTTGTTTGGATTTGGAATCAATGACAACCATGAGATGCCGTTAGTGTAACCGGCACCGACAACCAGTGGAGCCCAATTACCGACACCAGAACCAGGTTGACCCCAAGAACAACCATCTTCAAGAGAAACACCAGCATTGTTAACGTAGTATTGAGTGGAGGTTTTCTTACCTAACCAAGAGAAATAAGTGTCTTGATCAACAACTGAGATTGGTTCTGAACCACCAGCTTGCAATAAAGTTGGAATAACCATGTTTTCAGAACCTGGATAATCAGTTCTACACATAGCAATTTGGCTAGATAAAGTATTTTCAGCAGTAGCAGATTGGACATCCCAACCACACAAGTAATCAGCGTTAGTGTTAGTTCTGTACAAGTAACCATTCTTACATATCAAACCACCGATAGCCTTACCATCGGAAGGTTGATTTGATGGCCATTGAGTCTTGGACATACCAGCTTGACAAGCGTAGGAACAGTAGTAACCATCTTTACATTCAGAAGACATGTTACCATCCATATCCATGATTGAGGACCAACCATTAGAGCCGACCCAATCCAAAGCGATAACACCTTGACCACTTGGGAAATCAGAACATTTAATAGTACCATCGACGAATTTTTGAGATGGACCAGAGAAAGCAGATAAATCACCATCGATCGAACCACTACCTGAAGAGGAAGAGGAACCTGATGAAGAAGAACCGGAATCAGCGACAACATTAGCGCTTGTAGCAGAAGCAGCGGCGGCGGCAGAAGTGGTAGTTGAAGTGGTGGTGGCAGCGGCGACGGCAGAAGTGGTAGTTGAAGTGGTGGTGGCAGCGGCGACGGCAGCGTCAGCGTTTGCTTTAACGGTAGTTGTCATTACAGCGACGTTAGCTTGACCTACCAAAGTTGTTCTGGTGACTACGTTGGGAGATGCAATGACATTACCGTTCATGTCGACGACATTGGTGACAGTGACAGCTCTTTTTTCAGCATGGCCATGGTGATGCAATTTATGAGGAGCTGCGACAGCTAATGATAAAATTGATGAGACGGATAAAGCTAAAGTAGAGACTTTCATTTTTTAAAATTCTTGGATGAATTATTATTTTTTTTTTTCTAGATTAGTTGTAACTTCTGTAAAATGATAGAATTGAAGTTTACAAAAAATAGAATAGTAAAGGATTGACTTAAAAATATAAAATAAAAATATCGATTAATAAATTTTTGTAATCGTTATTAGTTAAAGGAAAGACGTCGATGTGAGTTAGTCAAAAATCACTCTTTGTTGGAAACTATTATTAAAACTTGGTTTAATAAAAATAAAAGGAAGATATCTTGGAACAAAAGTTTAAAAAAATATATATATATATTTTTTTTATATTTTAGAAAGGAATGAATTTGTAACTTAGAATAATAAGTTAACTTGATTTTTAAACTTGTTGTTTCTTAAGAACTTTGTAAAATAATATATTTTTGTTTAAACAAAAAGGTATATATTTTTGAATGAATGAATGAAAGTTGTGGGTACGATTTGGTGGGGGGATTAGGAATAAGCAAAAAGTAGGTAAAACAAGAGATACACATCGAAACAAGAATTTAAAAAAAGTGCAGCGGTAAGATCGATCCAGATCAGAATATGGGATTGTTTGTATCTATTTATATATCAAATGTGTTATCCCAATCGAAACATAGTTAAAAATATAACAACTAAGAAAGTAAGAATAAAAAAAAATTTTTTTATTTTATTTTTACTTTCTATCCTAAACTTTAATACAAGTTCTCGATCTTTATTGCGCTAACCCTGTAGGATCAAATAGTAAAACCCACTCGAGCACACCAAGAAATATAATAGAACGAAACTTTTTGATATTCTTGCCAATTGAATTAAGCAATGGTATGGTATGGTATGGTATGGTATGGTATGTCTTTTAATGAAAGAGCGGAAGGGAACGGCAGTGGGCAAAAAAAGGCATTTTGGTTATGGTTAGCGTGAGTTTGTGATCCATAGCAGCCAACGATTCACCTCCTTCCATCAGGATACCTAAATAGGAATAGAAAGATGGCAAAGAGTGAAGGCAAGAAATCCAAAAAAAAAGCATACGCACACTCACTCACACAAAGATGGGCGGGCTCTGCGAGTGCCTTCCTCGTCTCTCTGCTAGTCTGTTGGGTTTGAGATGGGATTTGGATTTGGATGAGGAAAGGTTTCGGGAAACAATCAGAGGCAATGAGAAGAGAAGAGCCAACTGGAAATTCAAGTTTTGGTAAAGGTCTTTCTATGATCAATCGGGTTCATGTTATACAGAAGCATTTCCAATTCGAAATAGTAGGACAATTGTAGTACTGATGTGTTGAGATGAGATAGGCAATTGATCCCAAGAGATATGAAGAGTGTGTCATGATAACGCTAATATGAAGCTAAACTAATTATATTATAAGATAAGCTACAGTGTAGTTTAAGTTTTTGTTGGAACCTTCTTGTTTCAGTCTCAGTCTCAGTCTCAGTCTCCTTGTAGATTAGTTCTGAAGAGTAAAGAAAAAAGGATAAACTGGTACGAATAAAGGGAGACAAGACAGTCTGGCTAGACGGTCTGAAATTGCACAGAAAAAATCAACCGGGATTGGTAGTTGTAGTTGTAGTTGTAGTTGTAGTTGTAGTTGTCGTCGGCGGTAGTGGGCGGTGGTGTACTTATCACTTCCTCGCCCCCCTTCCGTCGTTTCTGGTTGGATGGGCTTTAGAACCAGTTTGAAACAAAGATGATACTGTGTTGATTCTGTTCCTAGGCCAAGTGATTGTGGTTGCAGCCTAAGAGTTTTTGTCAAGAGATAAAACTTTGTTGCAACACTAGAAGTGCACGGGCAGAATGGTTCTCGTTCTCGTTCTCGTTCTCGTTCTTGCTCTTGTTCTGAATTAAGTTTGGGGGAGGAGAGGGGAAGGGAGGGGAGAGAGAGAGAGAGAAAATGGCCAGCGATATTCATGAGTCTAGCCCAGACTCATTCATCCATCCCATTCATTCTATCTCTGGATCTCTTAATGGAGCTATTGGCCAGTCCAGTCCATTCCATTCCCACTGTCCAGCGACGTCTTGTTGTTCAGCACGGTGCATGGGTGGGTGGCGGGTAGATTTGTGATGGATTGTCTTGCACCAAGAGTCTCAGAGTGATCTTGGGGGGGGGGGGGACAGTCGTTGGATTTGTGTGTATATGTGTAGTGGTAGTAGTAGAACTGCTGCCCAGAACTAACGAAGAAAATAAATAAAAGTGGGAGTACCCGCTGCAGAAAACAAAGAGAAGTTAAGTGCTGCTGACGTTTGTTGGATGGGGAGATCTCTCTTCACTTTCTCTCCGGGGTCTACTCTGTCGGTTGTCTATCAATTCCCAATCTCTTTTCCTAAAAGGGCCAAAGTCCGAAGAGTCCCATTGTGAGCAGTACACCACCGCTTGCAGTAAGAGAAGGTCGTCTTTTTGCATTTCGTACGAAAAATCTACTACAACGTATTTTGTTTCTATCTTTCTTTCTCTCCCTCCCATCGTAGTTCTGGATATTTATTTTTGTCATCTTGATGTCAACAACGAACGAACGAACGTATCAATCATCATTTTTATTTTTATTCCATTTCCTCTGGGAATGGGTTCTGTTTTAGCAGCTGCCAGTATTTCCAACAATTAACAGTGCAAACATTTTTGAACAAGATTAACTGGTGGTGTTTGGGAGACAGAGAGAAAGCGAAGTGTGGTGTGGTGTAGAGGGGTTGTCTGGTCATTGTTATTGGTATGTGGTGTAGTTTATCTAACAGTGCTACTATTTTACTGAATTTTAATTTCTATCTTGATTAATAGTCAGTTCTTATACTTCCCGATTAGGATAAGTAAGTTCACATCCTTGTGGGAACACTGGGATGTCGTGATGTTAGTCTCTCTTTTTCTCATCTCTGCCTATCTATTTTTAAGAGAACTTCATAGCTGGGTGGCCAAAAAAGAAAAAAAAAACATGTATATCCCTTGTCAAGAGATTCCTTCAAACGGCTAGTGTGAAGTTCTTTTAGGTGTCTGTTGTCCCGTACTAACGCCTTTATTTCTGTTTTTTTTTTTTGCTTTTTTTCATTTTGGCACTATTCGATTCAGAAAGATAAAAATTTGGGGCTTTCCATTACCCGAATATATCCACGTGACACGCCCGCCCCCCCTTTTACTTGTCTTTTTTTCTCACATGCAGTTCCTTAAAAGTTATCGATTCAATTCAATTAAGAGAAAAAGGGTAAAACGAAAATTTGTAGCCTTAACGGACAGTCAAAGCAGGGTAACTGCAAAATGTTATTACGAAAAAGATAGAGAAAGGCAGAGACAGAGAGAGACAGAGATGAAAAATCACACCAAATGAAGTGACGCGTGAAGAAACGATGATAATATTATTGATAATGATAATTTTATTTACGCGTCGTGTATCTGCTGAAACTTTTCAATTTATTGATTGATTGATTATATTGTAATTTTTCATTTAATCCCATCTACCTTGTCCATTCTATATAACTACATTAACCATTATGAAGATTATATATTATTATTATTATCGTTCTTCCACTCCTTTCATAAGCCATTGAAGATTATCAACATTCACAGTGAAGGGAAAGTAGAATATACAATCTATCACACAAATATATATATATTAAAACAAACTTCAATCCATATCTAAATAATGTCCATCGTATCTTTGTTAGGTATAAAAGTTTTGAACAATCCTGCTAAATTCTCAGATCCATATGAATTTGAAATAACTTTCGAATGTTTAGAATCATTAAAACATGATTTGGAATGGAAATTAACATACGTCGGTTCTTCCCGTTCTCTAGAACATGATCAAGAACTAGATTCAATTTTAGTAGGTCCTGTCCCTGTCGGTGTAAATAAATTCGTATTCACTGCCGATCCACCTTCTGCAGAATTAATCCCAGCCAGTGAATTGGTTAGTGTAACAGTAATATTATTGAGTTGTTCTTATGACGGTAGAGAATTCGTAAGAGTAGGCTATTACGTTAATAATGAATATGATGATGAAGAGTTAAGAGAAAACCCACCTGCAAAAGTACAAGTTGATCACGTTGTAAGAAATATATTAGCTGAAAAACCAAGAGTTACCAGATTCAACATAGTATGGGATAACGAAAATGAAGGTGATCTATACCCTCCTGAACAACCTGGAGTTGATGAAGAGGAGGAAGAAGAAGAAGATCTAGAGGAAGAAGAGGATGAGGAAGAAGAAGAGGAAGAAGAGGAAGAAGAAGTGGACGGTGTAGAAGAAGAAGAAGATGATGTGGAGGAAGATGGTGATGACGATGAAGGTGAAGAAATTGATATAGAAGATGAAGATGAAGGTGAAGCAGAAGAAGATGATGATGAAGACGACACTGATAAATCAATAAAACAAAAGCAGAATAGCTCGGTTGAAGAAGATGGTGAAGAACCAGATCCAAAGAAAAGAAAATTAGACAAGAATTCTGAAGACCAAACAACCGAGATCGCGACAACTCCAAGAGATTCAGACTCGCTTGTAAAAGAATAATTAAATAGATAAATAAGCAAATAATAAAGCAAAAAAAAAATAATAAACTAATGAAATTAATATCAAAGGGACATAAAACCATAAATGCAAAAAAAACCTATCAGAGTTTCTTCTTTAAAAGGTTCAATCTGTATTATAATCAAGAGAAATATTTTATTAAATAGTTATTTACATATCTCAGACAATTAAACAAACTCTTCCCATATTGAATTAATTAATTGAAAAAGTTTTGTTACTTTACGGAAATTCTCTTCATAATGTCCGTCATCGAGGGAAAGTAGTTTCACTTGTTTATCAGGATGCCATCTAATTCTTTCTTCTTTAATTATAGCCTCATAGTCTCGATTCAATTGGACACAACTCATTTCGTAAAATCTCCTAACCGAATCTACATCTAATTCAATAATATCTATATCGTTAAATTTCACTGATTTCAACAATGGCAACTTAAGGTCGTCTTTTGTTGAGTTCCAATAATTTTCAATGATTGTTCGAAATGTCTCACGGTTATCAAAACTACTATTTTCATACTTATATACATCGATTCCATCGTCATCATCCGACAAAACTGACGTCTCTGTATCTTGATTCTCCAATTTTTGCAACTCTTCCTCGGTAATTATTAATTTATAACCTTGAATACTTTCCCCATATTCTCGATAATGTCCTGTCCTAATGCTTTGCTTTTTCCCTACAGAAAACTGCTTTATTTTAGAAGAATTGTTATTCTTTAAATCAGTTGCTTGAATAAACTTCAATTTGAGATCAGTTTTTAATTCTGAGCCAACAGTATCAACGACTTTCTTTGAAACATCACATTTGAAAACCTCTTTATCACAACCAGATTCTTTTCTTCTAACGAATATTGGTCTTGAATAGGATAATGAATCATTATCACTATCAATTTCACTATCACCTGAGGAATTCGTTATCTCATAGTTATCCTTTGAATTCATCTCATTTCTATGGAGGGATGTTTCAATAAAATACCTCCCTTTTTAAGCAAAAAAGTAAATTTAGGTTACTCTTTCTTGTACAATAATCGATATCTTACAGTTTCTCACTATTACTTTTCATATACCTACCTGCTAATGCTTTAACAATTATTGATTGATATATCCATCATAAGCAAGCTTTAAGAAAAAAAAAGGTACTCTAAATCAATTTAGGGCAAAAAAGAAATGGACGAGTCCGGAGTCGAACCGAAGACCTCTCCCATGCTAAGGGAGCGCGCTACCAACTACGCCACACGCCCATAATTTCTTGAAAGAGGAAAGGGAAATATTGGAAGGTAATAAAAACTATCCATCACGTGCATGTCACATGC